ATAACCTTTGTAAAACCGTGGACATATTTAATTCAACACTAACTTGTATATTCACTGAGATTAATCTTTAATTGCTATTTTTACTATAGTTGTTTGGTTTGGTTTTTATTTTTTTTTAATTATTTTAGTTCTATAATTTTTTTTATACCAATTGTTCTACTGTTTGTAATATCTACTTGTATCGCCTCTATATTATCTGTTAAATGTCCTGTAATTGGAATTTGTTTTCTGTTGGGCATTAAACTATTATTATTATTATTATTATTATTATTATCTTGAAGAAAGCGTGAAGAAGACTCACTGGAGATGAGAAGGCTCGAAAGACAAATCTCGGGTTAAAGATTTTGAAGGAAAAATGAAGAGGTACGAAGAAAGCCCAAAGGAAGTCGGCAGAAATCTCCAAAAACACACGAAGAAACCCCGTAAGAGATGTGACAAGGTCGAAGGAAACATGAAGAAATCTAAAAAAATGTTACGCAAAGTGTCGTGAAAACTACTGGAGGCGTGAAGAAATCTCGAAGAAAAAGACTCTACAGAAGGCGCGAAAAAGGGTAGAAAGTCTAAAGAGGGCGCTGGAGAACAGCGTGTCAAAGTAGGCGTAAAATAATCTCAAAGGAGGAGTGAACAAATCTCCAAGGGGGTTCGAAGAAAACTCGAAGGGGGCTTGAAAAATAGTTGCACACTAGAAAAAGACGTGAAGAACTCACAAAGAAATCTAAAATAAGGCGTGAAAAAATTTCGAAAGACTCCAGAGCCGTGAAGAAGACTTAAGCGAAGCGTGCGAAAATCTCAAAGGGGACGTGATAAATGGTCGAAAGGCGCGAAGAAGTGTCGAAAAAGACATCAAGAAAACTCGAAAGGGGCGTGATCAAGATTTGAAGAAACGAGATGGTAAAAAGTGACACAAAGATTCAAAAGAAGCGTGAAGAAACGAAGACGTGAAAAAGCCGAAAATTTATGATGTGTGATCGAAGATTGGGTGAATAAACTCGAAGGAAGCACGAGGAAAAGATCAAGAAAATTCGAAAAAGGAGTGAGCAACATTTGGAGGAGAGATCAAGAAGACTCGTATAAAGCGTGAGAGAGGGATCGAATGATGTGTAAAGATGGAACGAAGGAAGCATAAAGAAGAAGCGCAGAAGGCATTGGCGTAAAGAAGGTTCAAAAGAAGCGCGAGGAAGACTCGAAAGAATTGGAATGAAGCTTCGAACGAGAAGCGAAGAAGGTTAGAAGGAGGAATATCTAAAAACTTGAAGCAAGCGTGGACTCTCGAAGGAAGAATGAAGAAATTTAGAATTAAAAATTGTTAAATGAAGCCTGAAGGAATTTCCAACCTAAATAAAAAATCTCTAAGGAGATGAGAAGAGGGCGTCAAGGAATACCAAAGGGTGCGTGAAAAAGACTCGACGGATACGTGAAGAACGCCGTAGAAAGTGTAGAAAAAGTTCGATTGAGGAGGCAAAAGAAATATACTAGACGGCGCGAAAAAGGGGCGAAGAAAGGTTGAAACGATGAAAACTGAAAGTTGCTCATATTCACGGGGAACCC